CCGCCCACTCAACACTTTCTCCAATTGTGGCTGGTGTGAAGCTGGCCACATCCTCAATATCACAAATGATTTTAAACAGTCTCCTGTAATGTTCATCTGCTGCAGGATATTGCTTCACGTTTTCCTTGTACTCTGCCTGTAGTGAGGCTCTTTTCTCTGCCCAGAATGCATGATAGCCAGGCACCGAGGCGCCCGCCATGTCTGGCACGGCACGACACGACACAGGCCTCAACCAAAATCTGATAATTTTAACAACAAAGGATCGAAAATTTCAGAGCTACCAGCAATAGAACTCCTTTATACTCTCCTTGAGCGTGAATCAGTCCTGTCCTGTCAAACAGACAATCTCGAATCCACCACTCGATCCCGATTCCGCATCGAATCCAATCCGCTCTGACGTATACAACAGCACACTAACTCCGAATCGAACTCCTCAACTCCACGTCGAATAATCCGTCCGAATGCGTCCGTTGAATCACACTCCTGAATGAATCACTATTTTGAATCAATCAATCACATTGCTTCAAATGTTCGCATTTATACAGCGCTTGTGACTAGCCCGCATCTACATCAATACGCGCGCTAGCCAATCAGCGCTCAGCAAATTTTCGCCCTCGTCGTTGACTATGCTCCCGCCCTCGCCAGTCCCGAGGACCATGAACTCTCTGATCGACGAGCTGTACCATCCCGCAACATGGTGTCGAACTCGGCTTTTGCGATAGCGAGCCGGTCCGGTGCCAGTTGCCGTGGTCGGCAGGTTACTGGTGGGCCAGGTACGGTCCTGATGTGGTGGACGGTGTTGTGTCATATCTCGCGCTGGACTCCAGCTGGGCGGGTCAGGTCCGGGAACTCTGTGAGGAGGCTGTCGATCGGTGTGCTGCTGCTGATTGTCTTTACACTGGGGGTCAGTGCGTTGGCCGCTGATGCCGGGGCTGACAGTGTCGTGACCCCGTCCAGGATGCGGTTGTTCCGACAGTCCACCAGAAGACCGAAATGTGACAGGAAGTCCACGCCAATGATAGGATGCGGGACGTCGGCCATCACGAAGCGCCACGTGAATTCTCGGCGTAGGCCCAAGTTGAGGCTGAGAGGCCGCCATCCGTAGGTGTGGATGGTAGTGCCATTAGCCGCACACAGGTCATAGTTGGTACGCTCCATTCGTCGGTAGACGAGCCTGCGGGGCTATACACAGAGGTCCGAACCCGTGTCGACTAGGAACTGCCGTTTGCTGACTCTGTCCGTCATGAAGAGGCGGCCTGTTATGGTAGCGCAGACATGTGCCGCCGATGATGTCCGCTGCGTCAGTTTCCCTGCTGGCGGTAGGAGCAGGGCGGAGTACAGTTTAGTGCCCGAGCGCCGAAGCGGCGGTGGTACCAGCAGATACTGGATGTGGCGTCGCCCCGGGAGGGGGATCTGCTGTCGGGCCGTCGGATGTTGAAGGCGGGGCGGGAACCCTTGGGACTGGAGCCTCTGTCTCTCGGTTTGGTGTCGAGATTTTTGAAGCGTCGTGGAGGCGGTGCTGTCCGGTGCTCAATGCAGCCACTTGGCGGGAGAGATCAGCGATCTCCCGCCGAAGTGCGCCGATGTCCGTGGGTCCATCAACGCTAGCGAGTGCTGGCCGGACTTCGACCTCGGAGATGCGGTCTGCACAGAGGGCTGCGGCCTCCAAGTTGCTCTCGTTCTGGCCGGCGAGGAAGCTCTGCACGTTGCGGGGTAGCCGGCTGGTCCAGACGCTTCGGATGACGTTATCAGACACCTCTGGTGCGAGACTTTTGAGGTACCTCAGGAACTGGGACGGCTTACGGTCGCCAATTTCCTCGATCGTGAGGAGTTGTCGGATGCGCTGCTCTGGTGATGGGGATAGCCGCCTCACAAGCTCGGTCCTCAGTAGGGTGTAGGGACCTCGTTCGGGTGGAGAGGTGATGCGTAACGTTGGTCCAACTGCGAGATTACGTAGCAGAACTTCGTCTGCTCGCTACTGATACCGGCCAAAGTGAACTGTGCTTCGGCTTGAGCGAACCAAACTGCTGGTCTCTCAGCCCAGAACGGCGGAAGCCGCACGGCAATTCTTGGTGTCTCTGTTGGTACTGGTCTGCTAGTAATACCAGCATAATGCTGTTTTTCTTCCATTTGTGTTACGTACTGTTGCAGGAGGTCTTCTATTCGACCGCTGTCCATTATTTGCGTTGTATTGTCCTTCCGTGATAGGACCTGGTAGGGGCCTATGTAGGGGGGCTCCAATGCTCTGCGAGTAGTGTGGAGCGTGACAAACTCGCCTTGCACTCTTCGAAGGCCCCGTGGAGCTCCGGTGTCCAAGTGATTGGGTGGGAGCCCTTGACCTTGGGTCCGGAGAGGACGTTGTGCAGTGGTGCCTGGTGTGCTGCTGCGTGGGGCAGAAATCGCCTGTAGTAGTTCAGCATGCCCAGGAAACGGCGGAGCTGACTGGCGGTTTTGGGAGGTTGACATTCCTGAAGGTGAGTCACTCGTTCTACCAGCGGTTGGGAGCCTTCGGCGGACACCTTATAACCGAGGAAGGTGATATCAGGACGCCAACCTTTTTCTTTCCTCGGCACTACATATTGTGCCCAAGAAAGACAATGGTTGGCGTCCTTGCGGCGACTATAGAGCACTGAACGCCCGGACAATCCCTGACCGCTACCCAGTCCCGCATATCCATGACTACTCACACCAGCTCCATGGCTGTACCATTTTCTCCAAAACCGACTTGGTACGAGCCTATAACCAAATTCCCGTCAATCCCGGTGATATACAGAAGACGGCCATCACCACTCCATTCGGCCTTTTCGAGTTCCCCTTCATGTCCTTCGGCCTGCGCAATGCCGCACAGACCTTCCAACGCTTCATGGACGACATTCTGCGGAGACTCGACTTCTGTTTCGCTTACCTGGATGATATCCTCATCTTCTCCCGGTCTCTAGAGGAACACGAGCAACACCTACGGGCACTCTTCGACCGACTGCAGAAATGCGTGATAATACATATGTGAGATGTTCCCACAGCTCTTTGCATTAGGTGCATAATAGAAAACATTTCCATTAACATATTTTCAGAACCAGTATAGAAATGTGAAACTGAACACTCTCTGAAGTGAGGTAATACAATTTCGCTATGTTCTTAATGTAGTTGGGCATTTCATAATTTTCTCATTCTGCCCTAATGCTTTCATGCCATCTGTGAGATTAAGCTGACATTCTGGATTAGATTAATATAAAAGACAATTGTTCCACTAAAATAAATGTAACTGAATTTGGATTCTATTTTGACTGTGTACAAATTTTGAACTTCATCGCTCAGTTGTGATATTCCAACAATATGAATTCATCCTGGTACTGTTTCATATGTGAACCTCAATGGATTAAATGATATCTTAACAATTTTTGATTTTGCAGTGCATTCTGGTAAGATATGAACATGTATTATACAGAGGGCAAAACATCCAACAGTTCTGGCATTATGAATGTCTTTATTTAAACTATCTTTCCATATTATATGTTGAAAGTATTTAGTAGCAATTATTAGATCATAACATGTCATATCATATATCACATTGTATCATATAATATCATATATAAAATCATATAGTCTCGTACTACAGTATATTATATTATATTATATTATAACACATTATGAATTTTCTTTCACTTTGGTGCCATGACATGAACATATATCAGACATGAGCACTGGAAGAGGGGACAAACAGTGCATCCACTCCATCCCAGTCTTAGAAAAACTCTACCAATTATTGATAATAATAATTTAATGCCTTTTTAAGTAATCTGAAATGTGAGTTTGTAAGAAATTCTATGGCTCCCTCCTTGCATAATTGGCTTCCACCTCTCTCCCCCAGGAAAATTTTCTGCTAACACTCGTGTATACAGAGTAGGATGTCCAAATATTTCTGGCATGATGAATGACTTTGAAGTCATGTAATGCAGTGTAGTCCATTAAAAGTGAATTGATGTTCCAGAGTAATATGTTGTTTCCATCTTTGTTGTTAAAGAGTAAACCAAGTAAGAAACTAGCCTGCTGTTTTCTTGCCTGTCTTACTTTTCACCCTTGAAGATGGAGGTAATATGTTCCTCTGAATGGACGTTTGTCTTTCAACAGATGACATGGCATTATAATCCAGAACACAGAACTCTTCAGAACCACTGCTATGAGAATCCTAAATCCTGCAAACTGAATTGAAATTTCAGATTGAGGTATTTTAATTAATTGTTATCTCTAGAATCATAATACTAATTTCCTCTGTAGTGCAAAGTTTTCTCTTTTTGAGTATTGTCACATGTAGAGTGGTAGGTGCGATGAAAATGACGAGTCCTAGTTTGGATGATTGGATTTCTTAGCACTTTGGTTACAACCTCTCTTAATTACAATCAATAGAAAGATATCACTGATTTACATACTTTACAGTTCACAATTGCAGCACACTAGGATTTCCTTCCTTCTAGCAATAGATCTCTACACTGAAACTATCAAGTCATATCACTACAAAGTCCTCTTGCCATTTCTTATTCAGTCATTCTGGAATTCAACTGCACTCTGTTGAACTCAAAACTGAACTTCCCATGGCTGTCTTCCACGGAGAACTCACTCGAACCAAACTGCACTTAAAACTGAAAACTTATAGTCAAAGTCAAAATCACATTGCATCTGATGGTCAGTCAGTAAGTAAGTCTCGGTGTCGAGCTGGACACTTATGATGCGGTTTTTGTGGGGCAACTTCTCTGAGGAGAGGACAGGTCTGTCTTTTGTATATGCTGCTGGCCCTTGCCAGCACAGTCTTTCTTGGGTCTGAGTCCCTTGGGACTCGCAACCATATTTTACTCTCTCAGATTTGAGACTTCCTTTTTTGGCGCCCCCTATGTCTCACAGGGTCATGGTGGAGGTATTTGACCCTGCCTCAACACGGGTTCTGAAAAAACTACAGTAATATCCCATTTTGTACTAACAATGAGCCTGACTCATAAGCACTGTGAAAGGCTAAATAACTACCTCAGGAGTCTGACTTGACCTTTTCCAGCAGTGTTTGCTTTTAGACATTTGAAATGAAATCCAAATCAGTGAAGTATGCCACTTAAAGTGGGTTTCCAGAGTTTACTTTTTAAAATTTAACACTTTTTTAAATTTATATTCTGTATTCTGAGTACATGGGAAGAAAAAAGAGCATTTTTTTTCAATTGACCTAATCCTTCTGGCCGCACTATGGCCCTGGGGTTGACTCAGCCCCTAACAGAAATGAGTACCAGGAATTAATTAAATAATTTTCCTGGGGAGTAAAGTGCGGCCGGCGCGTAAGGCTGGCAACCCTACCGCCAACTTTGAGCCAATTGTCTAGATAATGTGGGACCCTCAACATCTCACAACCCTATGGGCGTTCATGGCCTGTTACAGGGATAGGTTTACTTTTTTTTTTACTTCTGAGTACATGTTCGCTCTTGTAAGCTGACATTCATAGTAGCATAGAACAAACACTTTTTAAAAAATCTAATTTAGTGATACAAATTATGAACCAAATTGTCATATTATAATACCATATCTACGAGTACTTTAACTACTGCTGTAAAAAATGAATATATAATATATTTTAGAACTATCACGGTAATAAAAATGTATTTACAGGTTAGATATGATCTTCCATCTCACCAGTTACAATCATGGATTGCTAAAATATATTCAATCTAACAGTGCAGAAGTTAATATAGGCTCTTATTATTTGGCAAGCTAATGTATATGAAAATTATGTTCCTTTTAGGCCCTGTGGTAGAGTGCTCAAGATATCGATGCAATGATAGCATCAATCGGGCAAATAAGCCTCCAAGTCTCCCACCACGCAAAGTTGCAAGACCTCGTTCTCCATGGCATGATGTTCCTAAAAATAATTCTCCAATCTCTGGTAACTTTCAAGATCTTGCCACAGCTGCTGGAGAGAAAGTGGATGATATGGGGAAAGAAACACTGGAACCAACCATTGAAAAACAGTCAGAACCAGAGTTTGGTGAATGGGATCAGAATTTTCAGGATGAACTTCTAGGTACATCCCGTGGTTTCTTTTATATTCAGAACAAATGGAAGGCTGCAGAGATGTCAGGTGAATGGTGCCATGACCAACAGGGAAGCAAAGAAACGCCATTGATCCAGAAGTCTCCGCAGAAGGAGACATTCCCTGGGAACAGTAACAACGCAGAAGAAATAAAGGTGACACATGAGGGGAGTCCAAGTAGTGATAGTGTAGGGTGTGATACTGTGAGTCATGAACACAAAACTGGTACTGTGTTTGCTGAAAATACATGTACTTCTGATATTTATAGTGATGTCCATAAAGACCATCTATCTGTAAAAAAATTAATCCAGAGTTTCAATCCACACACTGAAAAAGTTACAGACAAACCTAATTATTTATATAATATTGATGACAAGAATGTAGATGAGCAACTAAATAATATAAATGACAAAACTGGAAAAGTACAGTTGAATAATGTTGAAATAAAATTCAGTGGTAATGCTAAACTGGATATAGGATCTACAACAATGAAACACAATGACACAACTTGTGACAGAATTCTTAATTATAGCAATGGCAGCCATAATAACTTTAATATAAAGACAACAGATTTCAAAGACCTTTCAGATGACATACCTGTAACTCTAAGGAAATCTCAAATTGACTCAACATCTAACAAACATGAAGTGCCCTTTAGTGATACTAAAAGCTGCCAAGTGGTAGTCAGTGGTGAGAATGACAGTCTTTCTTCTAGTCAGCTTTGCAGTGGAAGAGACATCAAAGAAATGGAAGAATGCTCCAAAGACAAGGAATGTAACACAAAAAATAACTTCATCAGCATCGAATTTTGTAACATGTCAACAAATTCCTCATCACAACAGGAAATTAAAACTCTGTTTAACAATGTTTATAACCAGAATATGCTGAAAAGTGGAATGGCCAAAGATCTTTCCCCCAGAGTGGCAGAAAATGCAGGGATGGCCCATGATGAAGACATAACGCCTCACTTGAATCGACATTCAGATGAACTGAATCTCCTACTGGCACAGCTGGCAGAGATCACATCTGCTCCCTTGTTACCTCACAGTGCAGCCAGCAGTCTAGTTGACATTCCTGAGGGCAAGAAACCGAAGCCCCAAGCTGTTGAGTCTTCTCAACGTGGGCCAACACAGCCAGAATTGGTATGAAAATAAAAGTATTTACAATTTAATGTATGTATAATAATTTGTCAGATGAAGTAAAATACTAGTGAAATATCTCAAGCGTTGGTCTTACTTTAGTCTGCTTTCCTTATTTTGAAAGAATTAGAAGCAGGCTTATGAGATCACCTTGCTCTCTATGCAAATGTGTACATGTATGTCCCTCAACCCAGTTACTAGGCAGGTGCTTGGTAAACTAGTTCCTATGACACTGAATACACACACAGCCGTAGAAGAACTGTTGGACATTGTGTTTTCTATGTGGCCCATATCATATTAAATACCAGTACTCAATATGTTGTGAAAGGAAAGTAGACTATTAGTTTTTCCCAGAAGAGAGAGCACAATTGTATTACATACTTTCATCAGCCTTAATGTGTTTTGAAACAAGAGCTTTAATGTATGACACATGTAAGGCATTTACTAAATTACATACATGATTGATGTTCTTAAATTATGATAATAAATTTATTCAGTAGACAATATTGCAAACAGCTTGCTTGTTGAATGTAATCATTGTTTATAAATTTCACTAATTTGATAATGAGTTGGAGATAGGATATAATCTAAATGTCAATGGATATATGAACTTGAGAAGTAATTTTATAACATTAATAATGAAGCTGGGTACAAATTAATTTAATTTGAAAACAATAAATAGCAACATTATTGACTGAAAATTATTTTAGAATCCATCAGACTTCCAATAAAGAAGTTGTGGGTTTGGTGGGAGTAGAGTTTTTATTTTACTTTTATAGAGATTCTAAAAAGATTATAGAATATTATAAAGGAAAAATGTTTAACATCTGTTAAATTGAAATTAAGTAAAACAAATAATTTGAATGTTACCAAAAATCATATTGCAGAAGCATTTGCTTCTACTTAAAATATTATTTTTCCTCATCAGAATGCCTGATTTTATACTGCACCTTAAAAATACTAAGTGGAGAGTATAAGCAGTGAATTTCTTCATAAACATTTCTCTTCATTTCAGCTGTCATGGATTAGATCCACTTGTATGTTCATATTCAATAGGAGCTTCAGAAGCACTCTTTTTTTCTACCAGGCTACATGGCCCACCATCCCAGAAAATTCTCTTCTTAATCTCTTTAAACATTTGATTGAACTCTTCAACAGGGAACCAGCGCATCACTAAGTCCCTGCCTACACAGGACAGCATAGTGTATCATAACATAATATGGAAAAAGACTGAAATAAATCGTGCTGAGCTCACAAAATCGGCATCCAAGGTGTCAAAGTTCATATGCAGAATTCTGTTTTCTGATAATATATTTTGACTCTCTTTAGTGTATACAAATACTTTGTTTGGATTATTCATTTCTAGCAATTCCTTGTTGCCTTGGTGTTCCTCAGTGGCACGCTCTAGAACAAAGTGAAAAATTACAGCATATAAACCATTCCTTTTTTTAGACCATTGTGAAAAGAAAATGACATACATACACATACCTATGAACTTTATTAGATATTTTATACATACAAATTTTAATACAACTCTTTCTGTGTGTATTCCTTCAGTTCAAATTACAATAGTGCACAACTCAACATTTTAACAAAATCATAATTTTGTCTATAAATTAAATCTATTATTGTTCCTTCAATATCTGTCAAATATTGAAAAACTGATCAACAGGTGAATCTACTGCAACCAGATATGCATAGATGGCCACCATTTATTTAATTCAGAAAAGGTATTTATTATCTGAAGAATTTTAAATATGATCTAGTAAGAGGCTGATATGTAACTTCTCAGGGCTGCTAGCCACTGAAAATAATATAGTAAAAATTATTTATACAATACTATTTAATCTTTAATGTAGCCCATATATAAATTCCCTTTTACTGCTGTAGGACAGAATTGAAGCAATACAAATTTTCAGAATAGACATAATGAAGGTTTCCTTTCAGCAAACATGCATGCTGGGAAAAATTGGTATATGCAGGCAGACTTGTCATAAGTCGCACATTCACTGGACACTGTACATTTCAACATTGAGACTGAAGCCAATCAAGAGAGTACAAGTAAACACATTACACCCCCCCAACTCTGGAAATTCCTATATTGAAATGTAACTGACTTTGCATATGGATGGCATAAAATCAAAAGACAAATTCAGATATTTGCAATGCAATGGGATATTGCAATATATCATTTAAATGTAAATTTATGTGTAAAACATTGATTTTTAGTTAAAAGGACTTATGATTAGTCTTTGCTTTGTATAATCCATGCCATTTCTCTGCTGTATTATTCCAAGTAACTGAGAAATGGATCTTGGCATGGTCATGAAAATATGTTAGCAAAAGGGGATGGACTAAGCGGGTGGGCAGAGAGGTATTTTGAAGTGCTCAGCTCAAACCTCAGCTGTAAGAAAAGCCATTCTGACCTTGTTTATTGTTTTTCTTAGTCCATCCAGGTAAATGCTTGAATAGCACCTCAATGAGGCCATCAGCATTTCTTTCTATATCCTTTCCTTTATCATTCAACAGCTGTCCTGCCACTTAATGCTATGTAATCTATGTACTGACTATA